TTCAAGCCTCTCTTTGGTACAAATTTTTTAAAACTCATTTTTCTTCAAATCCATTTCCAAACATACATTCTTTTAATAAAATAATTTTGCAAGGAAAATCGTGATTTTTTTTCTTTTTTTTTTTGAAGATTAAACTTTAAAAAAATTACTTTTCTCAAAATTTATTCTAAAAAATTACATCAAACTGTCTCTCAAGTATTTTCCCTGGTAATATATACTTAGAAGTAAATTTTAAGCTTACCCATAATTAAAACATCGTAAAAAAGATGGATTTATATTGTCTCTTGGCTCCGTAATGTATAAATGCGTAAGAGCGCTAAGCGAAATACTTAACACAACTTTTCAATTATGACACCGTTATGTTAAGTATGGAGTTTATAGATAAACGAAGGATATTAAGTGATCTTATTCTGATAACCGGTCGATAAACAACTTAAACTTGATCGAGACTCAATTTGGCTCTATCCGTTTTTGGCTAGTTGAGAAAATATGGAGTTAGCATAAGTGTTTTCATCAGCAAGTAGAGAAAATGTGTAACTTCGTTTTATTTGACATTCGAGTATTCTTTTTATTTGACAATCGAATAATCTATAACTACTATAAAATGACATGGTACTTGCCTAAACAAGATAGTTGAGTGGTTCAATCAAATAAAAGGCATTTGTCGGAGTGAGAGCCTTTTTGCCTAGACCATTCCGCCGGTGGGCCCTTAATGTTTGGGGATCCAAATTGTAATGATTTATATATAATTGTACACGTACACTTTTGACATAAATCTAGGATGAAATTGCAAAAAAATGTCCAATTTTACATTGTCATTTGTAAAAAAGTCAAAAAAATTTCAATGTCTATATTATAGTAAAATAGACCAAAATGCAATCATTAACAATTTTAAATTCTTATATAATTAAAAATTGTATTGACCAATAATAACTTGACACATAATCTATACTACTTATTTTAAAAAATACAATGTGAATCATGCATTAAATGCTCATTTCTTTCTATAAGTGGGTAAATAAAACATTTATGAAATATCGAGAATATACTTCAAATGTCAAGAACATTATGAAATGTAGAGAACTCTCATGTTCAGAACAAAATCTCGTTCTAAACAAATAAAGTGTCCGTGTCAAGATAAATATGGTTTAAATGTCGATAACGGCTTTTAAAATGTTGAAAACGTTATGAAATATCAAAAATAACAACTACTAAACACAACTTATAAAAAAAAATTAAAGAAAAACTATCTTCCACCGAGAATTATGGAAAATCTAATTAACTACAAATCTGGATAAGATTAAATTTTTCAAATGAAATTATATGATTTTCTTATGAATTGGAAGCATATAATT